ACCAAAACCGGCGCACGAAAGTGCATGGTTAATGGTTGTTCAAACTGAACTGAAACTGAAAATGGTTTGACGATACGGGCACATCGTCTAAACCTACTCCAATCACTATGTGGTTCGGCATTTGATACCGTTACTACAGTGAACTGCGCAGCATACGATCGTCACACCTCATTTATCAATACGAAAATTTGTAAAATATAAATTTTTTCAACATTCGTTGACCTCAGAATATACCGATAGTTTTTGTTCTAACTCGTCTACAGCAGTGTGACCAAAGGTTATGCGTCGAGTCTAAAGGACTGTGGGTCGTGGCTAAAGTCTTGCGGGTTTTGGCTAAAGGATTGCGGGTTTTGGCTGAAGCTTGATGGGAAAAGGTGTAGATCAACCTGACTAATATTAGCATTATGTAGCAGTCAGGGGTGCACAAGAGTTGAGCAGCAGCTGTCGAGTTCCTTGAGCTTCTCAGCCAGAGGATAGAATAGATGAAATTCGAAAGACTCATCGGTACTGGCACGTCCGAACAGCACGTAAAAGTTATAGGAGACGATTGATAAATCGCGACAAAGAAAGCAAACAACCAACAAGGTTCGACCAACCTGTATGGAATCCTCATCGTGCAATCGACGGATAAGCTTGATGCACATTTCCACACCCAACTGATTAGTCATCAAGATGAATTTTTGTTTTCCACGAGACCGAGAGCGACTAGGAATGGCAGAACCGACACCAGCGCTGCTACCATCCCAGTCGACCACAAGCAAATCCCGGAAACAACGAATCGCCCGTTTTCGCACACTCACTCCTTTGTCCAAAACACGTTCCGCTAACATGGGATAGTATTCGGGAAGTGCTCGCGGGCGCAGCACGAGTAATTTGCTGACTAGATCCACCGCAGCCTCTCGAACAGACGCGGAATTGTCCAGCAAACGAGCGTGTACCAGACGGGGTAGATCGCGCAACCAATTGGCCTGAGCAGGTGATTGTTTTTCAGGATCCTTGGTTGCGGATGCGCACACAAACAACTTCGGGTCGACCTCAATCACAGCGGACAAACAACGTAAGGCCTTTGTTCGAACAGGAACTGAAGATTCGCCGACCAGCTAATGACAGATAAGAAAGTTACAAAGCGTTTATGATTCGTAAAAAGATTAGATGCAGTGATAAACGACTGCGTTTACAAAAATGTGTCGTGGCTACATAGATTCATGAAACACCAAGAAAATAAAAAACCGCTAGAAAACTTGGTGTTGAACATGTATCATGGTAACTGCGGACGTACTCGACAAATAGCGCTGAAGATTTTTTCAAATCCAGGAACCACTGGATGTAGTGAAAGCAGTTGCCAGGCCGACCAGTGAGCATGTGCAGCCAATCGAAGGCGTAACTTCCTGTCCATATGCCGAGAATGCGCGTAGTCAACAAACCGTTTTGCGACCAAGTCATGTGACAGGAAGGAACCGCCGTAAACCAGCAACCGACTTGGAGTTGACCCACTACTGACCCGAATGCCAGAACTGGGGAAATGTGAAGCCGAATTTTGTCTAACCGGCTTGTTGGAAGATGGACTACTGAGAGAACTACTCCCGACCAACGAACTAGAATGCTTAGACCCGGTCAACCAGGGAAGTGAGGAAGACGGCAAGTGATGGGTGAGAGCCAGTTCCGATAGCAGCTGGTGACGCAGTTGTTCCAGTTCACGCACTCGTTTGGAAGCCGATAGAGAGCTGGAAGCGGAAGTGGTTTCCACACCGGAACGTCGGCTGTTAGCGTGAGTGAGCACTTCACTCAGATCACGAGTACAACCATGCAACCAAGAGGCCAGAAAAAAGCGCTGGGCAGTCTGGATAAAGAAAAAATACGATTCATTAACGTTGAGGTACTTTTTCCAAAGCAAAAAATACCTTGTGAATAGCACTGAATAAAAAGAAACAACGATGACCATCAATAAATTTAACGCAAAATAAACAATTACTATACTGAAGAAAAAGCAAAAAATGTTTCCGAGTGACGGCAATGTTCCAATCGCGAGAATTTCTATGGTCTACGAAACATTCTTCGAATAGTACAGAGTAGAATTCTTTCGGAATAACTGATTTAGCCGTACATCTTGATCTTTCGTGTTACGAAAATTACGGACAACCGGATAATTGCTACAAATTCGAATGAATATTCTGACGACATACACATTTAATTTAAATTTCTCTAATAAGATAACTGTTGGTATATATATATATATATATATATATATATATATAACCGTTGAAAATGGGTTTGCCAACTCCTGTTCGTCACTTTCACACGTTTTTTATCGAAGTGACAGCACCACACATGTACCACCAGTGGATTACCTACCTACATTTTAGTGTCATGAGAACCGACTGATCTCAACTAACACTCACGCTCTGTTGGATGCAAGTAAACAAAA